ACCAAAGTTTTTTCACTCATGATCTTCAAAAAGGGTGTGGCATCAACATCCAGAAAATTCAATCAAGTAACAACTTGACCGATTTGTTCACTAAAGCGCTTCCTTCAACCAAATTTGAAAAGATGGTATGAAACATTGGCATGCGACGCTTTAAGTAAATCAAGTGATGTGATAATTAGGGTGAGTTGGAAACATTTTGTACTCTTTTCCTTAACTATGTTCTTCCCACTGGATTTTCTTAGCAAGGTTTTTAACGAGTCAATTGTTCCCAATATCTATTATTAATCATGTACTCTTTGTCCTTAATAAAGGGTTTTTCCGATGAGGTTTACCTATTAAGGTTTTAACGAGACATGATACAATCGTCATTCAAGGGGGAGTGTTATGAAATCTTAGTTTGTGAAGGACCATTGGATTCCCTATTTCTCCCATAAAATCCCCATCATTATCTAGCATTAGTAACAACCATTTCAATGTGTTTTATGAATGTAACAACGCACCATCGTAATGTGTATTCATATTATAACTCATCTTTCATCTTATTTGGTTGTATAAATATTGAGCCATATGTATTAGAAAGTTGATGATTTCATTACAAGTATTGGAATAAAAGTTCTCTTCACTCTCGTGTCTTTCTTTACTCTATAATTTAACTTTTTATTTGATCGTATTTTATAACAATTGGCTGTAAAACGTCATCACATATTCACATTATATATATATATATATATATATATATATATATATATATATATATAGGATCATGTAGGAACTCAAAAAGTTGTAGGAACCATGAGGACAAATCTGGACCCTTCCCTTTGAAACATGAGTGGTTGGGATTAATTGGAATTATTTATTTTTTAATTCAAAAATTCGGTGGCATTTTTGAAATTAAGATGAACTTCTAATGCTTTTCTTGTTAAGGGTAAAATATTTTAGGGCAATTTGGTAAAATACGCAAGAGAAATCATTCACGTTTACATCTACATTAAAGTTGAAAATCCTTCGTTCTGCTATCTTCTTCTCCATGCTCCATTGTCGGTCATCATTCAAGCATCAATCGATTTAGAAATCTCTATAGATTCTTAATATCGTCTTTAAATCTATGTGTTTTAGCTTTATTTAGGTTCAGCTGTCCATCCTAAGCTGCATCAAAACCCTAATAAAGTTTACAAATCTATAATCGTTCATCCAAGACAGAATATTATTATTTAAGATGGGATTCAACATACAACTTTATCCTGAAAGCAGGTAACAAAGCTTTATTATCGTGTTTATGTTTTATTAGTTCAATTTTTTTGAGTTTGTAATGTGATATGTTGGTAAAACCAGGGTGTAACAACCTGGACCCATCTTCTTGTTGATTTAAGATTTAATATTTATGGATTCAGATCAATTCTTTTAAGTTTTTGAGTTCTGAAAAGCTTTCTCGATAAAGAATTTAGATAAATGCATCAAATTGCAGCTTAATATAATGATGCTCACCAGGTGTTCGATATAATGTCTCAAAGAAACAACACATTGGAAATTTTGAATTCTTAAGGATTTTGTTGTTCTTTTCATTTGTTTATATATATGTGATAAGTACTGATGAAGTTTCTTATGACAACAATCATTGGTTTTTCCTTGAAATTAATTTGTTATAAAAATGTAAAATACTATCATAATATGGAATACAAAGTGTATTGATGTGAAAGTCAAATACATATTGTATCATCAATTTAGTTTAAAAAGTTAAGATGAAAATCTGTGATTTTAGATTTAATGAGTGTTAGATATATTTAGAAACTAAAATACCATTATGTTACAGTTCAAGGTGAAGATAACATGATAATATACAAATAATTGATGAGATTACTACTAACAAATATACTATTAAAATGAAAGGATCCATACCTTATAATAACCCTAAAAATCATATTGAATCTTGATTTTATTTATTTGAAAATCATTGGATACAAAATTAAGGCCACTAAAATAAAGGATGAAAGTATCAAACATAGTAATATACTTTCATTTATTAGTTTAATATAGCATCCTACTTTCATAATTGATTTTTGTTAATGGAAATCCCATTTTATACAAAGCTTGTTGAATCTTTCTTTCAGTTATTTGAAATCCACAAGTTAATGTTTATCATAATAAAGGAAAGGGTTGAATGGAAGAAATATCAATGTATTTTCATTTATTTGTTAATTATAGCATCCTGCTTTCAGTTCTTGCTATTACACCATTGTACGTTGAAAGTATAAAGACTTGTGAAATGGTTAATGATCTCAATTTTATATAATTATTAAAATTTTAATATTGAAAATAATTATACTTATATTATTATATACAAATCATAGAACTGGTATTATTTTGATGATGCAAAATTCTTATATACAAAATTGTCATGATGTAGATCTATTATCATGTTATTCTTCGTATCTGTCTGAAATTTTTTAGTTAATACTACCAAAAGTATAATGTGCTAAGAAAAGTAGATCATAGTTGTTATTGATTTGTTTGAATAGTTTTTTTTTATTTTGTAGTTAGTACATCATTATTGAATAGGAAGATAGAAGTGTGGTCAATACAAAGAAGCCACAAAAAAGAAGTCTCAAATCTTAAAAAATAAAAAATATTCAAGAACTTCATTTATAGTCTTGACAATTTGGACAATAATGATGGTATGGTCGAGACAGTTGGGTAGTTGTTTCCATGGAATACCTATGTATTTGAACAATGCTTTTATGTTTTTGGTGTAGTTGATGAACCTTTTTGGTTCCTCTACTTGAACATTAAATCCTTTTAGTATACTTATGATTGAATGTGTTTCTAGACCTTTATAGTATGTTATTGTGTTAATCTTATTGTCAGATTCATAAGCTTTATCAATTTTTGCATTTTACTTTTATGTTCTATGATCCAAAATATACAAGAACTAAGTTTTATGATTCAAAATATATGATGTGTGCTTTGTTGTTAGTTGCAAATTATGAATGGTGGGTGTGATGTTCTTCAAAAAATGTTATGTTTATATATTTGTTTAGTTGTAAAGAACTTATTTTAGACATATTGTTAGATTTTTAATAATTACAGGTTATGGATATGAAATTTAGCATTTTTAGGTTTATAATGGGTTTTTTTATTGTGTGCTAATATACATTGTTTTGTTGTTTTGGAATTTTGTTAAGTCTCATATTCACTCTTTTAATACAAATGTTGGATAATATATTGATAGATCATACAACTTTATGATAATATATATATATATATATATATATATATATATATATATATATATATATATATACTATTTATGTATCATAAAGAATTTTTGAATCATAAAAATTGGGATAATGTTTTCTTCTATCAAAAAACTTTTAAATAAAAAATTTAGATCATGTTTTCTTAATTTTGTGCTAAAAATTTAGTACTTTTTGGTTTATAATGAGTTTTATTGATTGTGTGCTAATATACATTGTTTTGTTGTTTGTTTGTTTTTATTGTTTTGGAATTTTGTTAAGTGTCATAGAACTGTTTTAATACAAAAGTCCGATAATATATTGGTGGGAAATTGTCATAAAAGCCCTTAAGTTTTCCAAAAAATGTCGGTTTTACCCTTGGATGAGTTTTTGGGGTATTAAAGTCGGATACTTTCACTAAATGTATCAAATATCTCATTTAACAGGTTGGACCCTTAGTAGCCGGTTACCCATGTGCTGATTTGGCACATTAGGTGACATGTCAAACAACATGGGCCCCATTTTATAACCCTCTCCCACATAACACTTCCCCCTTGTTTCTTGCATCCTCTCACACCGCAGTATTCTCCCATGAAAAATGCCAACATCTTCTGCAAAATCAAGCTCGAATGTGAATTCACGATTCAAGAAGAAGATCGAAGTGAAGTGTTGGTGTGCAGATTTATGCCCTGTGTTTGTTTCACGCACACCAGAAAATCCAGGCAAGAAATTTTGGGGGTGCCCTAATTATAAGGTAAAAATCATTTTCCCTTTTCTTTAGTAGGATTGCAGTAAGGGTATTATGCACTGACCTAATTATGTAGGGGGGAAGGAGGTTGTGGGTTTTTCAGATGGGTTGACGATGAAGGAGTTCAAAAACAAGATATGATGTCAGAGTCAAATCGGATTATAGAGCAGCGACAAATGATGACATTAATGCAGATGGTTGTTGTTTTGTTAGGGGCTATATTATTCATGCTTGTTCTAGTAGTATACAAGATTTAATGGCAGTTGGTTGTTATGCCACTAGTATTGTGATCTTGAAATATGTAGCTTTTGATGGTATGAAATATGTAGCTTTTGATGGTATTTGATATTTTGGTAGGTATATGTAATGTTAGGATTGTAATTTGTAATGTATGGATGTTAATTGCAATGTATGGATGTTAATTTGTAATGTATGGATGTTAACTGGAGTACAATTTGGTTTGTTTTGTAAGTATATTGCATAAAATGGTATTGCAGTAAATGGATGTTAATTGCAATGTTGGATGATTAATTTCAGTAAATGGAATTTGGAGTACAAAAAATGGTAAGTGGTATGAATTTGGAGTAGCAGATATTGAATGGTAACAATTGGAATTTGTAGTACATGTTAAATTACATACTACCAATATGTATCCATTACAAGTGTAATTGGTATGAATTTGTAGTTGGTATGAATTTGTAGTACAAGTTTAATTAAAATGGTAACTGAATTTAAATGGTAATTGGTATGAATTTGCAGAAACAATTGGTGAATGGTAACAATTCTAAAAGATTGAACATAATATAGAAGGGGGTGTATCCATTACATATAGTTTAATTACATACTACAAATATGTAGCATCCATCCATTTGTACCAAAATGCCTAAACAATGCACAAAAAAGGCAACCTAAATGATAACAATTGGATGCATGCTGCAATCAAAATGCCAAAAAACAAAGTTTACAAAAGTGGCAACCTATACCATTCCCATTACACCCCCATCCCCCTTCTTGCTAACAAACTACTCCAACTTGATTGGCTTTACAGAAGAAGAACGACCACCATCTTTGTCATAGACACCCTTCCTTAGCTTTATCTTGGTAATCCTCTCAGATGTTTTCCTTGTTCTCCTAACCATTGGGACAACCTCATGTCCTTCATCATCACCCTGATTTTCCTCATCATCACCCAATTCTTCAACACCACATTCAGGTCCATCAACATCACCTTCAGGTCCATCACCATCATCAACATCTCCACCACCATGACCTTCTTCATCACCATCACCAACAACTTCATATCCAGCACCATGATCAGGTCCAGCACCATGAACTTCTCCATCACCATCACCAATAGATTCATCTCCAGCACCTTCAGCTCCACCGTCCAGACCAACATCATCATGACCATCAATGAAATCATTTACATCCTAGTGTAAAAAGATAGAATTAGTTCACAAAAATCACCAGAAAAATTGTTAATTAATAAAAGATAATAGGTCTTACCAGTTCAACTGGTGGGAATCATCCAATTCCACTTGTACCCCTGGCATAACTTCTATTTCTGCAATGCTATAACCAGCTTCTAGCATATTAGCAATGTCTTCAAGTCCTATTTGTATCTTCTCTGGGAGAATATCATCCTCTTTTCCCTCAGTAAACTCAATAACATCATTATCTTCCACCTCATTGTCACCATTTTAGTGGACTGGACTTTGTTTTGTTTGTGAAGTTAACCTCTTGTAAAATTGCATCAATACCTTATTCAATTTCATCATTTATTGATTTAAGCTTCCAACGAATACTGGATCCTACTTGCCCATAAGTGTCACTACCTTCCATCACACTTGTTTGACTGGTTCCTCCTTCTTGCATCATATGACCATCCTGAATATGAATTACTGGAACTTCCTGTACAACACCTTCTTCCTGCACAACACCTTTTTCTACAACAGTAGGAACTTTTTGAACCACACTTTGACCTACATTATAACCTTCTTGCATGACATTTTCACCCATCACATTTTCACCCTCATCAGCAACTGGAACTTGTTGAACCACACTCTCTTGAGTACCTATAGTTGGAGTATTATTCCCAGTTTTTGCAGAACTAATCCTCCCACCACCTCTCCTTGTGCACAACTTCTTCCTAGGTACATCAATACTATTTTTCCTAAATCTTTTAGAACCTGCCTGTTGCTGATGTTTTTATGGACTCATCGTTAATGTGTTATGTTTTCTTAGACTCCTCCTCACTATGTTAGAGCATGAAGGTTAACTTGGGACATTTGGTTGACCAGGGGTTGTAGTATTGTTTTCTCTCATTCTCTCATTTAGTGACTGGTTAGGAACATATATATGAGGGATGGGATGTTTTCTTGGCCTTCTTGTCTTCTTTGGTGGGGGAGGCACATATTGTTTTCTCTCATTCTTACATGCCCTCTTGTTATGACCATATTCCAAACAATTACCACATCTGGTAGTTCTTGCAACCTTTACTTTTGTTGTTGAAAACTTGTTCTCCTTTTAACTGGCATGCCTCTTTCTTTTGGTAGCAGGCCTACCAGGCATCCTCCTAGACATTGGAGGCAATGGCTTAATGTACTCAGTTTGGGCCCAAAGATTGCTGCCATTAACAGGTTCAATGTTTGTTGAGTAACATTGCCTAAATTTCTCTTTAGAGAAGTATGCATTGAGTATGCATCTGGTGTTTGATGGATAAAATTAATTGTTGCATTTGCATGCACACAAGGGATGCCAGCCAAATCCCACAACCTACATGAACATGTCATATCATCTAAGTCCACCCTATAACTGTCACACCCTCTTCTGGCCTCAAACACATGCCCTTGACTATGAATTATTCCCCATAACCTACAATCAAGTATCTAGTTAGTAACAATAAATAATGATTAAGACAAGTTTTAGAAAGCATAAAATAATACCTCATATTTTTCCCGAATCTATTCATTTTTTTCAAAAATTTTGGACAAACATTTGAATTCCACTTTTCACTTTCCTCATTCATGTAAGCAAACCTGTCCATGATATAATTCTGTATCTCTTCCGGCATGGTGATCAAAGGTTTTTTCCTAGCATCCAATATTATTGAGTTGAAGCACTCTGAGATCCCATTCTCAACTGCTTCACATACATAGCCTGATCCAAAATAGGCTCGACACCATGTTTGTAGTTGCTTTGGCATCAAGTATTCATATGCAGAAGGGTTCAATTTCTTGATGCTTTCCATATACCTCTTGAAGTCACCTTGTATGCAACTCATAGAGGTAGACCAAAACAACTTCTTATATTCCAAACCTGTGAAAGCCTTTCTAAAGTTGGCATAAATGTGCCTAGCACAATTCCTGTGTTCAACATGAGGCAGTATATCTTTCACAGATTCACGAAGACCCTACAAGACAATCATTTAATTAGTTTAATTGAGGAGAAATATGTAATAAGATAATTATGCAATTAAGTAGAGGACACGTATGTAAAATTTTACCTTGTGTTGACCTGATATCACTACTAAACCTCTTCCACTATCAAGATCTAAATCATCCCTTAGAAGCTCAAGGAACCATGTCTAGTTAGCCTTATTCTCAACATCCACAATAGCCCAAGCAATTGGGTAGACCTGATATGATACAAACAACAGCCCAAAACTTCGTTACATTATTCAAATTACATGATCCAAAATGTTAGAATGTAAATAGATATGATACAAATGAAGATGATCGTTTTTGTTTGTCGGTCGTTCAACAATAAGGAAAAAAGTTTAAAAATGATAATAATTAAAGTATTAAGAAATAAGGGGAAAAAGTAACAAATTAAATTACGGTGTTGTAGTTAGAGGTAAAAACTTCATGATAAGAAAAAATTCATTTGAAAATAATATTGATACACAGTCAAAATTGAGTGGTTAAAAATGTTTTGACTCAAAATGATATATTATGATTTTTAATTTGTTATGATCCATAATTTATTATGATCCAAAGCTTATATACACATATTTCGATGTATTTTAATATATAAATATTTCGAAATTATTTATATGATTTAAAATCATATGATTAAAATGATATGATACAATTCGAAATTACCTGACGCAAAATACCAAAGGGCTTCTAGCCCAGCAGTATCAGGTGTTGCCCTCTCTCATTGATGTTGAGAATTAGGGTTGAGCATGAACCGGGTTGGGTTGGATTTCACCTAAAACTGAACCCAAAACGGTTAGCATCGGTTTCAAAATTTTAAACCCAAACCCAAACTGAAACCAATGGCTTCGGTTTTCGGTTTTCACCGGTTCGGTTTCGGGTTCATCGGTTTTAAACCCAAACCCGAAACATTTAAATAAAAAACTAGAACATAACCCATCTAAGACAAGTTAAACCTTACCAAAGAGGGGCTTAGTCAATGAACCAAACCGATTTGTGGTGTAGGCTGAGTAGGCTTGTGTGATCCTCTATTTATAAGAGGAAGGGATTTACATATTTATTTCCAATGGGCGATGTGGGATCAGCTCCCATCCTCCACCAAATGAAAATATAAGAGCTGTTTTATATAGGGGTTGAGATTGGCAATTTTATCATCCCACATCGGATGTGGGATGAGATGGATTGTATATATAAAATTAAAATTCAAAGTACTGGAATAAAACGCTGGTAACAAGAATCGAACTCAGGAGATGAAGTTGTAAAGGTTAAGCGTTGTACCAAGTGAGGTACATGCTCTTTGTTATATTACTTTGCTTCATACATACATACACACACACACACATATATATATATATATATATATATATATATATATATATATATATATATATATAATGTACAAAAAAACATATATTTTTATGAATTCGGTTCGGTTTCAGTTTTTATCTGTTTATGTATTTCCTAAAAGGGATAATGACTTAAAAGGGTAATATATTTTTCGATTTGTACACATTTGATCATTGAGTTTTTTTTCGTCCATATTTACCCCTTCAACTTGTTAAACTGTACACATTCAATCCTTATGACCGGTTACTCCAGGTTAGCCGGGAAAATGACTTAATAGGTCAATATATTTCTCATTTTGTACACATTTAGTCCTTAATATTTTTGTACACATTTAGTCCTTAATATTTTTTTGTTTCAAAATAAGTCATTTTTGTTTTTGTACTCATTCAATACTTATAAATTATTTCTTTAGGTTTTTCTCACGACATCTTACGTGGAACAATCATTGATGAAGTGTGTGGGGCTGTTGATGTTTATGTGTAAAGTCTCATTTTCACAAAAAAAAATCATTTTTAAATAAGGCAAAACTCCCTAATTATAAATCCATTATTAAGAAATTTTTTTTATTCCAAAATACATTTATCGAAAATCAAAGTAATATAAGAAACGCAGAATCCTCAATACTGCTGATGAGTGTGTACAATCATGCCTTCGTCTTCCCACGATAAACGAGAGAACCTGAAAACATAAACAATTGGGTAAGCACAAAGCTTAGTGAGTTTACCCCAAAATACCCCATTCAACAAACATATTATCATGCATAACGGGCCCACACTCATCAGATTGGAATACCTTGGCCCAATCAGTCATCAGACTTGAATGCCAACATGCAACATGTCTAATCAATCATCGGACCGGAATACCCAAGGTTTGTTGGCCTGCCGCCTCAACCCAACCGCTCTTAAAGTCGGCCCGCACTAGGTATCTTGGCCTACAACACATAGCAGGACCGCCTCAACCTATCCCACCACCATATGGCTATCCCACGTAATATGTCGTGAGAAAACCTAAAGAAATCATTCATAAGTACTGAATGAGTAGAAAAACAAAAATGATTTTTTTTGCAACAATAAGTACTAAATGTGTACAAAAATATTAAGGACTAAATGTGTACAAAGTGAGAAATATATTACCCTATTAAGTCATTTTTACCGGCTAACCTGGAGTAGCCGGTCATAAGGACTAAATATGTACAGTTTAACAAGTTGAAGGGTAACATGGACGAAAAAAAAACTCAGTGACCAAATGTGTAAAAATCGAAAAATATATTACCCTTTTAAGTCGTTATCCCAAACAAATAACATTTAAAGTAAGGGATATATACACTAAAGTCCCAATATTTTCATCGATTTGACAAGAAAGTCCTAAACTTTATTTTTTGACAGTAAAGTCTAAATTACCGGCAATTTTTGACACTTTCACCCTTTTTTCCCGGTTAGCCGGTAATTAGGATTTTTTTGTCAAAAAAAATAAAGTTTATGACTTTCTTGTCAAATCATCAATTAGGACTTTATTGTCAAAAAAATAAAGTCTAGGACTTTCTTGTCAAATCGTTGAAAATAATAGGACTTTAGTGTATATCTCCTTTTTTTGTTAGAAATTTAATGGTAGGATACTCTTTAAGCATAAGAGTTATTAAAACTTTCTCTAGTCAGCTAGATCCTATTGAAATCCTTAACATTTGTTTCTTGTTAAATCGTTTTTTTAATCTCAACAAACAAACATTGAAAAAAGTGGAGATAATCAAAAAGAAAGAAAGAACCAGGGTTGTGTTGGCTTTTTGCTGTCCCGAAAATGGAGAAATAAGAAACCGAACCCTGGTTCTTTCTTTCTTTCTTGATTATCTCAATTTTTTTCAATGTCGGTTTGTTGAGATTAAAAAAACGATTTAACAAGAAGCAAACGTTAAGGATTTCAATAGGATCTAGCTGATTAGAGAAAGTTTTAATAACTCTTATGCTTATAGAGTATTATACCATTAAATTTCTAACAAAAAAAAATTATATATACACTAAAGTCCCTATATTTTTAACCATTTGACAAGAAAGTCCTAAACTTTATTTTTTTGATAGTAAAGTCATAATTGACGATTTGACAAGAAAGTCCTAAACTTTATTTTTTTTTGACAAAAAAATCATAATTACGGGCTAACCGGGAAAAATGGTAAAAGTGTCAAAAACTGCCGGTAATTTGGACTTTACTGTCAAAAAAATAAAGTTTAGAACTTTCTTGTTAAATCGATTAAAATATTAGGACTTTACTGTATATATCCCTTTAAAGTAATAATGCATAACATTTTACACTACCCATTACTTGGCCCAAATAAATTATGGATAACCAGCATTGGAGCAGCTGGAGCGCCAAAGCAAATAACGACGCAACAACAAATCAACATCCTCGTACTATCAGTGCGGTAAGTAGTCCAAGATCCAACCCAGCTCCTACGTTGACAAATTTACGCGGTAAGTAGTCCAAGATCCAACCTAGCTCCAGTTTTCTACTTTGACAAATTTACCCCTAATGATTGGTTGATCCTCGCGGTTCTTACTATTTTTTGGGTTTCTATCGGATCCGGATATATATATATATATATATATATATATATATATATATATATATATATATACCTTTTTTTCTTTGAGCGCATACAGCGCGCGAAGTGAGCTTGGAAGAAAAAAAATGGCGTCCTCTTGTTTCATCCTCTTGTAGGGGCGGAACACGAACGTTAGAACTGGAGGGTCCGAAACGAAAACTTCATAGGATAATAGTATAAACTAGTTAATTTTGGTTAAGAGCTATAATACCAAAAAAATCTAAAAATAATAACATAAAATGTTCTAATATCGTTAGTAAAAACAAACCACATACACACTTTGCCATTTGAAAATATGACCATCTAGCTATGAAATATGGAATGTTACAGAACCCACATAATTCCCAAATTACTATTTTATAGAAATTTTGAGAGTACATTTTTCCCTTCATGTGTTATAAAATCGACGTGTTGGAATAATATAGGATAAACCATGGTAAATGATTAGTCTAAATTCCAATTCATTTTCAAAGAACATTTTATATTTCATAAAATAAAATAAGATTAATAATTATTAAAGGGGCTTGCAACTTTTTAATATTTTAACTATTGTTGTAGATGAGCAGGTGGGCGTGATTTTTTTCTATCCTTCAA